GTGAGGGCTCTGTCACCTGCCATAACACACCTCGGTGTCCCCAGCATCATGAGGGCTCTGTCACCTGCCATAACACACCTCGGTGTCCCCAGCACCACGAGGGTTCTGTCACCAGCTCCCACGGGCCGGAGGGATCAGCTGGAGCTTGGGCAACACTGCAGCCTGAGGTGTGTTAAAATAAAACTCACAACCGGTCACACGCTGAGTGCCTCAGGCACCTGTTAGAAGTACTTTTCTACCCTAAACCACACTGCATTCACACATGGCCAAGCCTCCACCGTCTGGAGAAGAGCCTGCAAACTGCCCCACTAATTGTGTACAATTCATCAGGGCACTCCAACGCCCTGACCCACCCGTGCTGAGCACCCCCAGCATCACCACACAAAAACAATGATGGTCCTCTTCATGGTCAGTCCATAAATTTCCTGGAAGTCCGTGGGAAGGATCAGCTACACTGAACACTACACCAAACACACTGCTGTCATTTCAGACCATTTCTGCTGAAATGCTGACACTCCTCATCACGCCAGCACAGCTACAAAGGGCTTGCAGTCTCCTTCACGTTAAATAATAACTGGATGTATGCTAATTGCCTTTCCTCCAGTGAACTGTCTGCATTCCCTCCCGATTTCCTGTAGCTACAAATATGATAATCAGGAGAACAAAGACTTTAGCACAGCCACTCGGGCACAGCAAATGCAGCGGAGTGTGTACGCCTGACTCCAGCAGCAGCAGCAGCAGAAGGCAGACCTGCAACCTCGCTGCTCGGAGCACCCCGAGCCCACCTTCAGGAGCTGTCAACAAAAATTGGTGTAAAACCGCACACGGGAGCGAAGTTTCTCACTGGAACTTCCCGGACAATGCAGCCCCTTAGCAACGCGGCCGTTCTCAAATCAACCGATCCACCTTTATTTCCCACTTCCTCCCAAACTCTCCGGACAGCAACTTCTGGCACTCCATCAGTCCCCTTTTATCCCAGTTTCTTTTTATAAATCCAAGGTCAGGTTTCCTCTGCCATCTCATGTGATGCACTGGACTGAAGTTCTGCCAGCGTGGTCGGTCCCCACGCTGCCAAACCCCCTCCCGAGCTCCCCTCCGCCCGTCCTGCCGCCCACCGGGCATCTCCAGCGGACACAGCAACCAAGCGGGCAGCGCCGGCTCCGCCAGCGACGCCGAACGACGCCTATTAAAAATAAAACCCCGTTGCACCGAGTCCCCCCCACCCCGGGGCGGCTCGGGGGTCCCGGGCCCGGCCTCGCCCCTCACCTCCTCCTCGCTCTCGCTGCGGAAGCACAGGCAGGCCGCCCGCTTCTTATAGCCATCCCCGTCGTAGGTGCGCGTCTGGTTGGACTTGAGCTTCATCATCCTCCGCTCCGGGGGCGGCGGGGCCGGAGGACGCGCGGCCCGGAGGGCGGGGGCGGGCGGGACCCACCGGGCGGCGAAGGACGGGGGGGGGCGCGGGGGGACCGCCTGCCCGCGACAGTCTCTCTCTGGTTCTCGCTTCGTGGGTCTCGCTACGCGCTGCCGCCCTTCGCCCGCCTCACCCCTGCCCTCGCTGCCGGCCGCGCCGCCGCCACCGCCCGCGCTCCGGCCACCGCCGACGACGACCGCGCCGCCATCTTGGGGCTCGCTACGCAAACGGCGTAGCGCCGCCGGGCGGGGAGGCGGCGCTGCCCCTGCGGCCTCACGGAGCGCCAAGTGCGCAGCGCGGCTTCCAGAATCGCTCCCCCCGCGCTGGCGGCGCCGCCACGCCCCCGCCCCGGCTCGCGCGCTCTACGCCATCGGCGCGGGCCGCGTTCGGGAATAGGGCGGGCGGCGTAGAGCGGCGGCGGCGGGCGCTCGGCCTTACGCGAACAGCGCAAGGGGCCGGGCCGGCCGCGCGCACGTGGCCCCGCGGTGACAGCGGCTCCGCGGGGACGGCAGCGCCCGCCCTGCGCCGCGCGGGGGCGCTGCGGCAGCGCCGGCACCGCGGGGCCGTGTCCGTCCCCCGGTGACACCAAGGGGCCGCGTCCAATGCCCGGTGACACCGCGGGGCCGTGTCCATCCCTCCGGTGACACCGCGGGGCCGTTTCCATCCCCCCGGTGACACCAAGGGGCAGTGTCCATCCCCGGTGTCCATCCCCCCGGTGACACCGCGGGGCCGTGTCCATCCCGGTGACACCGCGGGGCCGCGTCCATCCCCCCGGTGACACCGCGGGGCCGTGTCCATCCCTCCGGTGACACCGCAGGGCCGTGTCCATCCCCGGTGACATTCTCCGTGTGTCCATTCCCCCTCCGGTGCCACCCGGCTGGGTGTCCATTCCCCTGGGTGACACGCCAGGTCAGTGTCAGTGTGTCCGGTGACACCGCGGCCATCACGGCCCGTTACCGGTTGTCACCGGCTGCCCAGCGACACTTGGCGGCAGGCGGCGGCCACTGCGCCACTCGCCCCACGTCGGTCCTGCCGCAAACCCGCCCCCGGTCCCCACAAGGGACAGCCCAGGTGACAGCGCAGGGTGCGGACACGCGGGCCGTGTCCCCATCAGAGGGACACGGGCTGGCACAGCTGAGTTTTCCAGCTCAGCCCCAGCCCAGCCCTGCTGCATCGCCCCGGGCAGATGGGAAATGTCCAGGACTCACTTCCACACCCCTAAACTTCCTTCAGCAGAACAGAACCTGCATTTAGTCACTCCCAAAGTGCTGTCCCAGATGCCAAAGCTCTGAGTCACGCTGTGCTTCGTGAGTTCTGTTTGTGTGCTTCAGACACAGGCATGAACCCAGTGGCATTTTCACCTCTTTTATTATACACAAAACATGAGCACGAAGTTCTACTGCGGGGGCTGACCACGTCCACGACCGAATCCACCTCTCTGCAACAGCAAAAGGAGTGTTAGAAATCATTGTGTCAAGCAGTGACAAACATCATCAAAGCTCTGATGGCACAGGTCAGCCAGGCGAGTGCCACCAACATCAACACATTCCAGCCAGCTCTGTGGATCAAACCTGAAATACTTTCATTTTTGAGGTATAAAACCATGGATCTCCAGAGAGCTCAGCCTGCTCTCAAACTTGTCACTGGCCTCTGTCCCACCACATCCTTTCCCCACAGTGAGCAAGCTGCATCTGAAGGGCGACAGTTTCCAGCCCCTCTGACACCGTCAGAATCCTACAGGCAGGACCTTCCAGCTTCTCCCACCAAAACCTTCAAAAAAGGAAGCAAAGTTCAAATGCAAACACTCACAAACTGGAATTCTGTGGCTGCTCCAGCACCAGCCTCAGCCTTCTTGTCAGCACCAGCTGCAGAAAGAGAAGCAGTCAGTACCCACAGAATCCCCTGCCTGGAAGCAAAGTTTTAACCATCCCACAGAACTAAAACTGGGGCTAAACACAGCAAAGCAACAGCTGTAAATGAGCACGTTTGAGAATTACTGAGCCAACCCCAGGGCAAACCCCACAGCTCAGCTGGACAAAACTCCAGCACTCCTCCCATCCACGCTCACATACAGACCCATAGCTATGCCAAGAGCCTCATCTTCCCCTTTTCTCCTTGAGAGGAGCCCCAGAGCTGGACAGTTGTCCCCGGGAGGGCAGGGGGGCACAGGGGGCACACTCACGTGGCACGGCGCTGCGGCGGTACGTGTCGCGGTCAGCCTCGCCGCGCGTCAGCCGCGCCGGGCGCTCGCCCTCCAGACCTGCAACACAGAGCAGAGCCTCAAACGCTGCTCAGCCAGGCCACAAACACAAAGCTCCTGCACCCCAAGGTGCAGAACAGCACCGGGTCTGCCAGCAGTGCTGCACCTGGAGCAGCTCGGGGAGAATAAACCTAAGGGAAGCAGTGTTTTAGTAAGGGAAACTTCACTCTAAGGGTGAAATCTGCTCAGCTTGGGGCAGGGTGGAAGTTAAATAATGTGAGAAGTGGGTTTACAGCATCATCCCAACTGTCTTCTGGACATCAAACTAGTGCTTTGTTGATAAAAATCCCAGAATACTGGGAGTCTGCCATGGCTGATGTTGGTGCACAGCTGATCCCAAACTGCAGGACAGAATTCGGACCCCAGCCTGAACCAGCCACACTGTCAGTACCCCAAATTCCTCATGTCAGTAAAAGCAGATTATCTGTAGAATGTCAGATTAATAGCAGACAAAACTGCTGCAGGAACACCCAGTTGTGGTGGGACCACCACCTCTCAGGGACTGGGCTGTGTGCCTGGAGCCCAGGCTGGGCAGAGCCCACCCAGGCAGGACCAAGGATGCACCCCAGCATCCTCCTGAACATCCACATACATTGGTATGGCCATAAAAATCCCAGTTCTTGCAATAATTATTTTACTACACCACCTCTGTGGCTCTCAGACTACTGCTGCCTCATCCACAGTAAAAAAAGAGCACCAAGTGCAGCCCTTCCAAATATCCCTGCCCAGAGGGGGCTGAGGAGGGTTCCAGCACCAGGACAATCCTGTGACACCACACACAGCTCCTCCTGCACAAACCCCAGCCAGAAGCTGCCACTCCTCCCTCCCTCCCAGCAGGGATGCAGCTCCTTTAAGCTCACTGGATAAACGCAGCATCTAAAGAACAAATCTTGGAACACCCAAGCAACTCAGAGATCAAAGAAAGCATCGTATTCCCAGTTTCTCTGCAATTCCTTCCTTTGAAGCAGGTGATGCTCCCATTTTGTTTGGCTCAGACACAAACTGCAGCAGCTGGGGGTGAACTCCCAGTGCTCCTTGGCCCCCAAAGTGGCTCAGAAGCAAAAAAGCACAACCCATGTGATCCCCCAGAGCAGAGTCTGCTGCACCCCCTGCACTTGGGGTGTGAAAAGCCACCAAGGGAAAATCAGAGCTGCAAGCCCCACACACAGAATCACAGAGCAGCTGGGGCTGATCTGGAGCTCACCCTCTTCAAGCCCTCTCAAGGCAGGGTCACGCAGAGCAGTGGCACAAGAACGTGTCCAGGTGGGTCTGGAATGTGCCCAGAGAGGGAGACCACCACACCCCCAGCTGCTCCAGTGAGAAGCTCTTCCTCATGCTGAGGTGGAACTTGCTGTATTTTAGTTTCTGGTCACTGCTCCTTGTCCTGCCACTGGGCAGCGCTGAAGGGAGTCTGGCAGCATCCTTTGGTACATGCCCTGGGCATATCTGTGGGGATTTGTCTCCTCTCCTCCAGACTAACCAGGCCCAGCTCCCTCCGTCTCTCCTCACAGAGGTGCTCCAAACCCCTCAGCATTTTTGTGGGCTCTGCTGCTCCTCCACCACGAGTTTGCTGTTCACCTTCAACAAGGACCTTGTTGTATTCCTGTGGGAAATGGCTTTTTCCCCACCAGAGACCCCTGTAGCTGTAACCATGTTAGTTTAACCTTTCCTTCCTTTCTTGACCTAATTGGCTGAGAGCCAAATATATTTTCATGAGCAGGAGTCTAGACAAGGCTCTGTTCTCCCTTTTTCTCCCCTGGAAACATCTGAGAATAAAAGTCTAGGACTACATTGGGGGTTAGAGCTTCTTTTGGAATCTTTTACCTTGCCCCTGAAATATTCCCCCAAAGCCTTCTCAGATCTGGGCTGTCTAGCAACTCCAGGGTGCTGTGGGGGTAAATATTTCAGGAGCCCTGTCCCAGGAGCACCTTCAGTGTCCCTGGGGAAGGCAGAGTGGGACACCCACCACTGGCCACAGGTGATGCCCAGGTGGGGCTCCAACATCTCCTCCACATCCCCATCCCATTCCTTGGGGAAGGCCAATCCCTGGGGTGGGACACAAACCCCGACCACATTTCCTTGCTCTGCTCACAATTTTACACCCAATCCCCACAGGTCTGGCACTGTCCTGGCTGCCCAGCCCCCTGTGCCCACCCCTGGCTGCCCAGCTGAAAGAGAGGAAAAATGTAACAGAGTAGAAATTAGAAATCCATTTAGATTTAAGTGAAATGTACTGCTTTGAGCTTGGTACTGAGTTGAGATGGTTTGAGTAAAATATGCTGTTTAGTCTAGTAACTGCAACACTAATAAAACTATCCCAGCTAAAGAAAAAAAAAAAAAAAAGACAAATTTCCTCACTAAAAAGATAAAAAATAAGAAAGACTCCTCAGACCTTTAAACAAGCAAAGTGACCCAAGAGTTCTTTCTATACTTTCTAACAAAAACTAAATACGAGTGTAACTAACTAGAAATGTAACACGAAATCAACAAAATGAATATGCATAAACCTATTTTTATATAAAATTCTATTACTATGCACAAACCTATTGTAAAATTCTATGAGTATAGAAATTAATAAGAGCAATAAAAATCAATGAAGTTATCAAAAGCGAGCCATTAAAGAACAACAAGTCCCCACGTGCGTCCAGCACTATAAATAAATATTGAAATGATGGAGTTTGAATTTTCCCCCACGTTTCCCAGCCCCAGCTGACCTTTGGGCCGGGGTCTGCCGGTCTCGGGGCGGCTGCGGCGCAGCGTGGCCGGGACGATTTC